ATTCCGAGTATTTCGGATAATGAGCGAGCATGTTGCACATCCCCAACTTTCATTGTTAGCCGGAACACGAAAACGCTAAACATACATCCTGCTACTAATATCGTTTAATTATTCTTAGAATTAAATAAACGAGAAACGTTTAAACGTGACTATCTCATTTTTAATGAATTCTTATTTCTGATAAAAATTGAACACGTTCAGTACTCACGCGTTCGACTGAGCGGGCAATAAATTCATGGTTGTATCTAAACCGTTCGCATCGAACCACGGACGTCAGGTGGAGGCGTTTACAATAGAAAAGCAACGAACTCGGTCACGCGCGTTATGATTCAAGGTGGCGAACGTGCCGTCACGTTAAAATATAATTGTGAGTAAGCCGTCCAGTCGATAAAGACACTTAGGTACTGGGAACCTTTGATCTCGACATAATTGCGCGGTTGCAGCCACTATTGCGTCGATCTTCGATGATTTGCCCGATGAGAATAAGTTGAAATGTTCGAAGATAAAAATCGATAAGTAGAGGAACCAATTCATGACTAAAGAGTCGATTCGGTAAACAAGATAACGTTTCATGACTCATGCATAACTTTTTCTAATACGTATGTACAGAGGAGAATGGAAAACAGTTAGCTAGAGCTATTGAGGCCTTGATAAAGTATCGATTTTCTCTCTGGCGGATTATGCTCTTCAGACGCGTTTCCCTGAAATGCATCTGCTGATTCATCGTAGAGTTTAATGAACATCAGGTGGGCGTACCAGGGTTCAGAGACCTGGAATGTCACTCTGTCATACACCAATTTATGTGTTTCCTTTGTGATTCTTTGTAATAAGTAATTTAGTCGTATCCATTTTTTCCTCTACTTCCGTCGGTCCCGACGTTATGTTCGAACCTAAGCTCGTTCCACGCGCTGGCTTTAAAATATTCACCGCCTTTAGTGAATTAAGGTTTCGCGGGCGAACTACGGTCATGGAACTTTTTCGCGACGACGCGTAACCGGCTGATTTACCGCGAGCGCAGCAGGAATGAATCACATTATCGGTCGACGGTCGCGAGGCGCAGCGCGGCGAGGGGCACGAGAAAAAAGCGATAAAGCCGCGGCGACAGGCAGTCTAGCGCGATACGAGCGCGTGCTGGCTTGCCACCGCCGTTCCGACGCGAGTAGTCACACCTGTGCTCTCGAAACGCGTATCTGAGTACTTACCCGAGTATCAGAGAGATCGTTTTACCGTCGATCCACAAAGAAATGGCTGGAGTATTGGGATACGCAAACGGCCCAAAGGCTAGAGTATCTTCGGATAACGGAGGAAAGGGGTCGAGAATATTTGCTCTTGAAGCGATGAATCTCCTTCGCTTTTTAACTGGATATTGTATTTAGCAAACGATTCTTTCGTTTCGTCGATGGGCGAGGAAAGAAAATATAGCGAATGAAATGCGATAATCGTTGCGTAACGCGACTCTTTACGGGCTGTCATCGAGCATTGGCACAGCTGCGTGGAATGGGAGGCATGTTTGAGGTAGAGCCGTGTTTGTTCATCGTTGGTCAAGGCTGCCAAACGATCTTCCGGTTGTTCGACAGAAAAACTTGTGATTCGATCGTTTCTTAATATCATTAACGAGTATTTCATTTCTCAATCCTAAAGGGTCGGGTGTTCAATCCACCGTCCCGAGCGTCAGTGCCCGTGGCAATTCTGTTGGGAACAGAATCCGTGCATCGTCACGCATAATTGCTCGGAGCTAACGGGAACCCTAAGTCCGCTTTTTATCACGGCAATTAATATCACTTGATATCCGGAGCAAGTCGCGACCACCGCATAAATTCGACGCTCGAATTATTCCGTACATAATTCAACCCTTTCGGCCATAAGTCACGTCTCTCTGACACCGTGCCGACGACGGAATTAGGATGCAAATTTCGTTGCACGAATCGTTCTTCTCGCGCCTAGAAAAGGTCAAATCGATTATAATCGCGAGATTGAACAACGTTCAAACGAACACTGTCACACGTCGTCTCCACCCTCGCTTCTATCCGTGTACTTTACACGTTATTTAGCCTGAGAACCGTACAGGATATCATAACGTCGCGAGAACGCGTGACTAACAAGGCTCAAAGGTTTCCATCGCGCCTACCCTGTCGCGGAAATGGGCGTTCAAACGTTCAGACTCGCAAAGTCAATAAACGGAGCCTGGGCCCAGGTGTCACTGTCCGAACGTTACAATTACACCTCCCGTCGAATGAGACGGCAGGAAAAAAGCACACGTACACGTAGACACACGAGAAAGCGGTATTACGGAGGGGCCAACGAGGAGGCTGGTACTCTTCACCTCGCCATTGACAGCGCGTCGTTGACCGTGTAATTATGGCATTTTTTAAAAGGTGGTCCGCACGCGCTCCTCTCCCTCTCTCGGGGTTTATTACGACGGGGGAGAGCGAGAGAGAGAACCGAATTTCGAGCCCGCAAAACCACCCCGACTGGTCGTATTGTCCGATGCTTAATAATACAGCTAGGCGCAAAGTGCAATTTCTTGGCATGTACGCGCTACTGACACCGTATAATCACGTCCCGTTTAGTAGATACATTCTGAACATGATTCATATATTGTACGAATATCAAATGGTTGAAAACCGAATTAAACGTTTCATTCACGAGCACGTTCGTTCTTTATAGACGATTGTGACGACTGTGTGATTTCCCGATTCAGAATCTCTCGACAGTTTTTCGATCTAACGTCAGCAGGGAGTAGCCAAGCCTGATCCGGTTGATACTTTAATTAAAAAACCAGCCGCACATGTCGAGGCGAGGCGTCGATAATCGGCGAGTGTTCTTTGCTCCCTGTTTGCGCGGTTCCTTTATCCGTGACAATCTCGAGGAAAATCCGAGCTTTCGGTCGCATAATCCCCCTGCATTAAAGCGTCGTGAAGCGACTAGGCTCTCCGGTCGCTTTAAAAAGAGAAGAGGAACGACGCGAGAGACCGTTTCTGCTTCTCTCGCGAAACGGGAGAGACACGGTCAGGAAACAAGAGGACGGAGAGAGAAAGAACGGACGAGGGACGAACGGTTAGATGGAGAGAGGACAACGAGTCGGAGGCACCCTTGGGCGATGATACGAAAATACTGACACGCGGCGCTTTGGCCGAGGATTGATCCGCGACACGTGCCCTCAATGCCGCAATCAACGTGGCTGACTGACGTCGCACGAGACGAGACCCGCAGCTTTTTACCCGACGCTTTATTTATGAACGATTTGAAAGCCTATCCGCCGCGATCGGGATCCACTTCGTGGATGTTTTAAAGGGAAGATCGCCGCGTTGTTTGACGACCCGATAAAGGCCCCGGTGATTCCCTTTTTTAATGAGCGAATCCGAGGGTCGGCTCGTCTCGGATGATGAACCGGCGGGGAAGTGTTTGCCCGGGATGGAAATCCAGAAATTGGATTGAACGTGTCATAGGAGGCTTGAAGGGCGAGATATCGGTCATGGAGTTTCACCGTTACTCTGTTAATTGAGTTTTCTAAATTCTCGTCGACCAACACGTCCGCTCGAAAACTCCACGAACGTCTCTGACGGCGAGACGATCGTCCGTGGAGAACGAGCCACAGCGTTGAAAGCGTTTAAAAGCGACAGCCAATAAAGGGACAATCGATCAGACGACGGTTCGACGCTCGGTTCACAAAGAGTCCCGACCTCGATTGAACATCTTAAAAAGGGAAGGCAGGGGGAAATCTCGGCGGCGGCCGTAACAATGAAATCCGGGGCCGAGGATATATCCACTTATCCACGTGGCCGCCACCGAGATCCCGTGACGCGATCGCAAAATTTTTATCCTCGCTGCCAAATTATTCCGTCGATCAGAACCCTGGGGGAACGCGGGGCCAGTCTCCAACGAGGATGTACGACCGTCCGGCTCCTTTTGTCCGACGGAATTGCCCACGGTGCGCCGCCTGTCCCCTTCGCGACGAAGATGCCTCTAAATTGAAAAGTCCACCCGTGAAAACCCCAGCGCGGGGGTGTATTATAGGGCGAACGATATTGGACCATTGTGGACCCGGTCGAGGAGAAAAATATATGGCTAAATAGGACGGCGGACGCGGTGTTTTATGGCTAAACGGACTGCTGGAATGCCGCTGAATTTATGTCTTATTCGGCCGGGCTCGGTCTACCATGTTATTGGCCGTTGATTAACCCGGACCCTGGAATCCTTCTAATTTATCGGAACTGTCCCATGCACTTCTGAATTGCTCCCGCGTGCTATTGTTTTTCTACTTATAATTTCCATAACAGAATTTACTAAATCCTCCATAAAACCACCGCGAGCTTCCCCGAAGGGATCTAATTATACGGAACGCTTGATCGACTCGGAAATTCGATTTCGAACCCTCGGTCACCTGGTTCACCTGCGTCGCATTTTTCACGGGGATTAATCGATCTCGTCCCTCTTTTGTCATCGCTGCGTGACATCCCGGGCTCCTTTGCATTGGCTCCCAATTCGGGAAGATTTGTTTCGGCACTTGGGGTGTGGTAAGCCGACATGAGACCAACGCGGTTCCCGGCGCCGCTCCTAATAACGAGGAATTATCGCCGCGATACAATGAGCCTGCGGGAAATCCTCTTTGATGTCTACCACGGAAAATAATACCGTCCTAATAGAGTGAGATTATCGATGACGCCGTCACGACGCTCCTTCGCGACGGCAAGCCAAATTTCTCTTCGATTCGTAACTTTGACGCGAAATAAAGTTAGCGAGGATCGAAATAAGGAAAACCACCCCTGAGTTTTTTGTCACTATAATTTTTCAAAAAACACATGAATTGATTTAAAATTTTGCAGGTAGCTTTTTAATAGTAATAGGAATCTATAATAACAAATTCAACATGATAGCATTGTTTAAGTGTATAGCCTATACATCTCTAATTCGTTCGTCGGCCACAAAGCCGACCGAAAATTACCCCCTATCGAACGGCGGATACAAAAATCACCGTTTCAATTACTCAGGGGGCGAGAGCCGCGAGCCGCAGAGTCGGAGGACTTATTCGGTTGCCAGGAACAATCGGACACGCCCCCGCAAAAGCGTTCCGAGCGACGCTTCATGCGACATCGGATGTATCAGAAGGCTAATTGTCTTTCGCTGTCAGTTGCACCCCCGGTCGGCCGTGTCCGAGGCACACGGCCCCGCGGCGATCGCACGGACCGACTCTTGGGCGCGAGCACGCCTCGAATTACATGCTAGAAAGGATAAAATAATTACACGTCGTCTACCCCTCCCTCCTCTCTCCTCTCGCTTTTATTTCGAGCGAGTCAGCCAGGAATTTCACGCGTGAATCTCGGGGAAAAAAGTTTGTGGGGCGACGCGACACGTGCCGAAGACGTTTCCGCAAAAAGAATAGCTGTCCCGGAGTAAAACGAATGTCTACAAAATTGATTTCAGGATTTTGTTTGCCGGTACGAGGGAGAGGGATTAGGGAATTATGCGTGTGGTAGTATCAACGACTATCGATTTGATTAATCTTTTTAATTGATCTTTGAACGACAAGTCGTAGTCAAGCAGGATGTATGCAGGAAAAACGCCATTTAGATCGACGATAGTTTTTGGCGGCTTTAACAAGGCGGAAGATAATCATTTGCGTTCTCTGGCAAAGCAAAAGGGAGTCCGTAACTCGTTATTATGCCCCTTTGCATAATTTAATTCTTGTTTGCGAGGAGAGGAAGCTACCGCAAACATACAGCGTGGTCGATCATTACCGTGGTCGTATCTGCTCTGTGAAAATTGTTGCTTTTCTCATCGCGGGATGGTTTTCGTAGGGAGAAGCATGGGCGAAATTGTCCTGAAAGATATAGATTTGAACGAAATTACCTCGCGTGTCGGCGAACACGTGCTCGATCGTTCGCGGCTCCACCCTTTCGACTTCGGTCGATACGTTGATACAAATGACGTGACGACACGTTCGTTCGTATTCATTAAAACTTTGACGGGCACGTCGCACAGGAAGAGTAAGCAGTATGAATCGTGTATAATAAAAAATACGCGATGGCAGATATTCGCATTATTGCGTTCAATAATTTACTTGGCAAATATTCATACGTTCCGGTTGTACGTTCCTTGTGTTCTCTCTCCGTACATCTTTTATCCTCTCTTAAAAATCCTCGCACACCTGCGCTCGCGCGTACAGATACATAAACCAGCCCGCGAGCAGGAAATCGAATGGAGATAAAATACAATTTATCGGGCCGCGTAACTGAGACATAAAACGGGCTCATACTCGGCCAGCAGATTCATTGGACAAGTTGTCGGTGCGCTAACGGCGCCCCATGCTGTTTCCACAAATGGCGTACGGGCCAGTAACACCGCGGTTCGACGCCGACTCGAGACTTCCTGTTGTGTGTATACAGGTAGCTAGAAAATCCCCCTGATGCCAAGCGGAATCCTGATATCCAATCCGTACATTCGCAACGCTCTTACTCCCTGATTTATTTGATGGAGCATCGCGTCCACCGCTGATTATTATTTAAGATATCTTCATCCTCCGATTTAATACTCTCTCAAAGGACGCGGTCAGTATTAATAGAATTACAAAAATGTATCTGGAATACCCGAGGGAAACCGAAACCGGGAATATCTTCTCTCGTCTTTACCCTGAAAAATAAATAGTTATGACAAATAGAAAGCTTCATGCCTATGTTTTATAATAAATACCTGAGGGAAAAAGTAGATGTTACGATCTGGTTGCCAAGTCGATTCCGACTGTGGTAGATCGTTCTGCAAGCTATTCGTCGTTGACTCGTTACTCTGATCAGGGAAAGAGATCTCATTATCGTTTCTTGTTTTATCGTACGCTGGAAATTCTTCTTTATCTAAATATTCTTGGTAATTTCTAATTGGGAATTGAATCTTATAAATCGGTCGACCTCGAATGTAGTCCGAGTTTCCAGCGACTATTCTTTCCCTCACTTCGATCTTGGAATTGTCGCCAACTAAATAAATGCATCGTCAAAATTTCTTTTAGACGCGCTATTAATTATTTACACACCTCTGTTAGGAACTCTGTCACTCTGCCTGTACTTTCCACTATGAAACCTGTTGAACAGTCTAAAAAATCCTCCATTATAAGTGTTCAAATAATGAACGAGTCCCTTCATATCCTTGGGACATTTGGGAAACGCTTGGTAGCAGGCCCCGGAGTTTCCCCGATTGCTGTATCCGAGAATCATCGCTCTGCCATAGTTCAGCAGAGGAGAGGTCCCGTCCACGTCGAATTTGGTCAGCCAGCTGAAATCGCGAGTGAGAATCTAGCCGAAAGCAAAATGAAACAGCGGAACTCGACGGAAAGGAACGTACTCGGTGAAAACGTTTCTGCCGAGGAACTCGAAGAACCCGGATCCCTTTTTGGCGAACGAACGACCGGGAAGCTTCCCGCTGGCCATTTCGCAAAGTATCCTGGCCACGCACTTGTAGTCGTCGTGTCTGGATATCGTGTACAACGCGTCGAGGAGGTTCAGCTGGAATCCCGGCGAAAGAGGAGCGACCACCCCGGCCGGGTGATTCGATTGTTCGTAGCCGGAAGTTACCGGATGGCTCTGATGCGACTGCAAACAGAAAAGTTCTCTCGTCGCATGTTTCTCGTATCAACTACGTCGATTCGAATTGCATTTGTCGAGCGAAAATATTTGCCGTAAAAGGAGATGGACAGCGGGGTAACTATGGCGACGATAAATATCGTAGGAATGAAATGGAGAAAGGATAATTTTATTAGAGGCAAAATTAATTTACTGCTGGTTTGTTAATGTTTTATATACTTTAGCCAGAGGACCGTAATTGGTAGTATATCAAACTTTTTATGACAGGTAATTGGAGGAATTTCTTGTACGGAAGTAAGCTCGGTTATTAAACTTGGGGAGTACATAATTTATTGTTAATTCAAGAACGCTTCGACTAATAAACTTGCGCGATACCTTTTACGATATTCCTACGACGTTTCCCGTGTTTATCATCTAATTTTCCCAAGCAAATAATTACGCATTCGCGATGAAAGATGAGATTACGAACGTACCGTTGCGGCGTTATTAAAAACGCTAGTGAACACGTCCATGAACGAGATCTGTCTCCCGGTGGATCCGTTCTCCTGACCTTTCCCATTTGTCGCTCCAGCGGTTTCTCGACCGATCAGATCGATAGCCAGCTCATCGATACACCTACGCGACGATTCTAGTTACTCAACTCTCTCTGTACATGGAAGCTCGATAGAACGATTGGTACATAATACTCACTGTAATAAATCAATCGCGTTATAGTTGTTTCGCGCCTCGTCAAACTCGCAGTAACGAGCTTCATTTATTTCGTCCGGAGTCTCTCCGTGGAATTTCTGTGCACCGATGTTATGACAAAGTAGAAGACAAATAAAGATCGATTCGTACATCGTTTCACGGTGTCTCGTTTCAAAATCGATTTATCTTTTCGATGCAGAAAGCTCACTAATCGATCGCAAAGGATCTCGATCACTGTCACATATTAATTTGTCAGACACTGGCTTCCATTACTTTTACGTAAAAGTACAAAGCTTCGTTGCAACGGTGATTCCTCGTGAAATGAGCTAGTTCGTCGCGGTCGTACTTGAAATATGCGAGCGTTCCGCTTCGCGGATGATCGTGTCACAGTTCCAAGGCAACTGGAACTTTCTTCGAAAGCGTTCTTGGTACACGCAAGAGGAGACGTAGGTAGGAAGGAAGGAACGTCATCGCGGGCTACTCTCACTTCGCGTGACCGTTTTTCGCGCGCCGTTTCACGCTACATTAGAATCGGAATGAACGCATTGGTTCTTCTTAAAAATTGATTTTATTCGTCGATCAACAATCTATAATTACAGGTCGTCAACAATTTATTTACAACAACGAATGGCTGATTTTTGATCATAAAATACAATTGATGTTGCGCAACGTCCGTGTGAACATTCTGAAGTCACAAGTTCCCTCCGTTTACCACTATTATTTACTACTCCTATAACTTACTAGGAATAAAATTTATCCAGCGCGAGCCACTCGCGGGGGAACCATAAACACGTCTCGCAGATATTTACAATCTGTACAAGATGTTTCATTTATAAGTAGGAAAGCGGTTTACAGTTGATCCGCGATCGTTGACGGGTCGCAGCCTCTTCCCCGCTTCGCTAGCTGATGACAGAGACTCGGACTGCCTATGACGTTGCCGAGAAACACGCTCAATAAATAATTCTCCTTCATCGGGTTCGGCGATGACTTGTACTCGCTGTAAAACGAATCCCAGACTTTACATTACATCGTCGCTAATGAACTCGATCGTGAAAGCGTTACGAGAACGCCGCGGTTCACTGGTATAAATTACAAACGTCGCGAAGTAATTGGATCGTGTCTGTTTTCCGAACGATTCGGATCACCGCGTTTACTCGACGAACGGATCGTTGAACCGATTCCGTTGTGTCTCTGACTCTCGGGAATCACCCCTTTGCCTAAAATCTGTTCGACCCCGAAACGAGCCTTAAAAATCATTCTCTCCAGCTGACCACTACGAGAACCCCTTGAACGTCCATCGTTTGGCCGTGGACGGTCCCTGCGAGAGACCGAAGAATCCCGGTCCCTCGTGCACGCTCCGTTAAACCTTCCGCCGGCTCGAACCTTCGATACATCCACGTTCCTCGTACCACCCATCCCTTGACCACCGTCTTGTCCCTACAGGTGACAGAAGCGATTAACCGGCGCGTTTCGGGCTCCGCCGTCCGCGCCGGCCATCTCGACTCTGAGAAATCTTAGATAAGCCGTTCGAATTCGGGAGAGAGCTCGAGACGCTCGTAAAACGTTGGAGAACTCGGGTAGGTAGGGGCCTGAGAGTTATCAGGATGCATTAGGTCGCTCGTGGAGCCGGCCATTAAAGGCTATCTGCTGCTGGCGTTACTTACAACTGAATTTAGTGCTAGCTCGTGGCTCGAAGAACCGGTAGCACCGATTTCTATTTAGCTACTATTAGTCGGAGGGAAACGCCCGGACCGAAGCCGTTTGGATCGGAGCCCACCGTCGCGTTCTTCCTACACTGAATTTATTTTCCTCCCTTATTTTTATCTCAGTTTTTCAGTCTACCGCTTTAGTTAAAATTCATCGAAATCATGCCCGAGTCCCAGTGCTTTCACTTCGGTTTCCGCGAACCTTTTCAAGATACAATACGCGCGGGGAACACGTAAAAGATCAACCGACAGCCGTTCGTGACTCGACTCCCGATCGATTCCAAAGTCTACGACGTTCTAACCGCTACGTGACTCGCAGTGGAACGGGCAAACCTCTTTCGTCATCTATCCGTAATCTGTGAATATCAATGAGCTCCGACAAAAATTCCACAAATTTCTCTATTATGAAATTTAACACATAATTATCCGAAGGAGTCGCGATCCTTGTAACGATTTACGCTCGCGACGCAGAGCGAAATCTACGGGGCAAAAAATAGGTAAGACGGTTGAGTGACAGGGGGCAGCGATTGCATTACGGCTGACCGTGCAAATGGGCCAGTAGCTTTCCTCCATGCGTTAACGATTAATTATTAAGCCTCGCGGGATTTCGCAAACCTACGGAGCAAAACGATGAAAAACCAGTAATTGATCATCCATGCCTTGAACTTCAGGGTCACGGTTACGTAAGTAGCGCAGGATCGAGAAGCTCTCGTTCTCGTTCCACCGATGCTGCCTCGCATTCCAAGGCTGGTGCAACGATCTATCATTGCTGAGGACTTTCACGATCGATAATGTTGGATCCATTTTCCATCGGAGACGATGGGAAACGAAAGCAGGATCGTTAACGATTGCATCGAATGAGGTGAATGAAAAAGTGGAGACTAGAATCTAGACGATCTCGAAAGCCGAGTGTGTCGAAACGATGCAAAAAATTAGATTAAGAAAAGTTTCTTGTGGTGTGGCAAAAAGTTGATATGATAAATTATAAGATAAATCAAGCATTATTTTTACAGCTGAATTAGAACGCACCTGAAGACAGTGTTCCAATCCAAAGATCTCTCCCGGCTTCTTCTGTGCAAAGTTTGTGTCGCGTATTTGGCGCAGATTCTCTCGTAAACGCAAACATTATTTCCTAATTCCGAAACCAGCTTCTTCTCTACTTGACTAACATCTAGAATCTCCTCGTCGTGTACCAAACGGTGAGCTCGCTTCACCCGGCTGACGTAAGTCTCTGAAAAAGAGCCGTTCAGTAAATGTCAAAATTGTTTCGCAACTAACGATACAAACTTCGTAAAAGGCAGTTTTAGACACTCTCTAATTAAGCATTTTGAATGATTTTTAACGTTGTATTTATCACGCTGTCAGTTCCATTAACGCGCTATGCAGATTCCATATTAGCCGTTAAGTTAACTGTCATCAATCCAAGTGGTGATACGCGTTCCAGTCATTTAGAGCCGGAGAATGACGCTCGCTAATTAATGACTAGTGGACGAGGCAGTTTCTTCGACGATCGCTTTAACGAAAATTGACGTATCCAATACAACTCCATTTGCGGCCACGTTTGCCTGTCATCGCTGACTGCTCGTCAACTTTCGAACACCTCCACTCTATTCTCTTATCGATAATAAAGTTCAATCCCGGAACTCTATGCTGTCAATTGTAAAATATTTGAAGAATAGAAACAATTGCGATCATTGTTTGTATCTTTAAAACTCTATTCATCAACCGAGTGCATTGAGCTATTATTGATTTTTCTAATTAGCACGAAAAGTTTCAATAGGTGGAAACGAGTCAGGAAGTGACACGGCGCCAAGTTACACGGACGTTACATACGGCTTGTGGAAGTCGCAACAAGTGGAACACTTTCGCTTTCGCTGTTCGTCGAATCGATTCACGCGCGGAATCCCTGGGTTACTTATGCGACGTGCTTTAACTTTTCCTCGTTTGACCAACTACGATTACCTGGATTCAAAGAGTAGGCCAGTTTCTTCACGAAGTTGGTGATCCTGACCGCGGCGATGATCACTGGAAATCCGAGCAGTTGTACCGGGATCTCGAACGCAGGTTCCTCCGGACTCGGAGCCGCGTTCACCAATGTCACTGCCAAGAGGTAACATCCCAGGAAGAGAAACACGCGCGTTAATCGCATCTCCGAATGCAATCTGATGAATCAATTAAAATATTCTTTGAGACATGCACCTTCGAGTCAAATTCTATTTTCCTTTCGAAATAATTATATCTCTCTAATAAGAAGACGAAAAGCTTCACCAAGTTCGCTATTCGAACAAGTCAGATCATGAGAAATAATCATCATCGAAACCCAACACAGTTCACCAATTTTAATTCACTGTCAATGTATACATGGGTCTCCTGAATCAGTGGCGATCGGACCTGTTGTCGGTGAGAATCGTGCGGCAGAGAAGCCCCAGTCGGGAAACGCGACGGCTGGCTGTTCCTTTGGTAAAAACTCGTGGGCAAGTGTTCCTCGAGGGCTCTCTGCCGCGGTTCGCACCGAGAGAAAGTGATCGCCCCTTCTTCCTCAGTTTGCGTTCAAACGAACGGTGACCGGACGATTGCGACATTTAGTGCGCTACCAGGTCCGTGAGGTACGTGACGTCCTCCGCAAGGCCGGCTTCCTGACCCCCCAGGCTCGCACGTTGCTCCGTATCAGAGTCACAATCTGTACGAATGTAGAAGAGATCGACCGAGTTGGACAGTGAGTATTTAGTCGTACAGTGATGTACGATCGAGGTCGAGTGAAGAATCGATGGTGATTTCAAAGAGGATAGATACGAGTGATTTTTTTGAATCAGTGTCTCGCAACAATAAGAGAAACGGTGTCGACTCCAGTGTGATCACGCAGCGGCTACTCGGTCAGAATATAATCGATTTCTCGCGTGGAACGAGGCCTATTACGGGTGTTGCTCAACGAACATTTTCCTGTGTCCCCATTCACGTTCGATTATTATACAGATGCACTTTTACCTGCTGCATAGGCAAACGACACCTGACTTCCTACAGAGAAATTAATGAGAATCCTTGTTCTGAATTTGGCGATGGAAAGTGAGAAACGTGTATTACTATTTGTTTCTAAAATAATTGGTTGCCTCCGTTCTGTTCTGCGACATCGACAAGAATGCCGGCTATCTCATTTTCAAAGGAGATATTGTGTATGCGCTATCAAATAGCGTCGCGACGCTCGGGCGAAACAGCGGGAGTCATCGTTTTTCCGGGAGGCTGGCGATTACGATTTCCCACGAGCTGGCGCAATAAAAGAAACGAAACGAAACGGTCGCGATCATTTTTCCTGGAATATCGTAGATCCTAACTGCTCGACACGGTTTTTGGCACGATCCCGTAGCAGCGATCGTTAGAAACGCTCGCTTGGCATCGCGCTTAAGCCGATAAAAGGGCGCCCCGGGATTATTACAATAACTCCTCGGCCGACGCCGCTGTAAACCGTCCCGATTGTTTTCACGCGAAACAATATTTGCCTCTTTTCGCCGGAAGCCGTTCTTAACCAGAATAGAAAATCTCGAAGGGACGGGACAGGAATGAAAGTTCAAAAATTCATTCGACAAACGTTTATTTCAAATATGCGATAAGAATTTATGATCTACACCTCGTGTAGAATCGCTGAATTTCGTCCATGCGAAAATAAATAATCGTAGCACGTTTATTCTGACGAACAAACGGGTTTCCTGGTACGCGTTAAATACTATTCGATTTCCTTAAACGTAATCGTACATAATTATTAATCCAACGGACGTGCGTTCGTCAGAGTAGAGTATAATGACCGTTTCTTAATCTAAACGCAAGACAAACGTTCTTAGGATTACAAGATACAAAAATTGTCAGCGATATCACAAGCCACGTCGTCGTCGTCGTCGTCGTGTTGGACCTTCGTCCTCGGTCAGCGCAGTCGAATTTTCTTCATCATATTCAAGACGCTGGACCCGGGCAGCGGACAGGTTGGGTAAAAGTTGTGACATCCCTGACCTTCCAGCCCGGATATCAGTTGACCCATATGGGCGGCGAAGTGGTACCTCGAGGGCACTTCCGCCATGGTGCTCAGACTCGTGTCCCTGAAAAATCGTCGTTAAATATTCATCGGCCGCTTTGCTTTCTTTACAAGTATCATCGGTTGCCGTGGCAACGCGAGTCTATGAAAAATTTATCGATCTCAGAGGTTTACATAACTTGAACTCTTTGTTCTTGCAAATTAAATTCAGTGGAATACTAGAAAACTCAGATCTTATTATATACGATTTCGTTTTTCGCACGAAACGGAGAATCCGGTGTTCGATTCCCGGTGGTGAAATAATAATCGGAAATAGTGCGGCGCCAATGAGATCGGTTCCACTTTCGCGGCAGTTGACCATGATTAAACTGGTCGAGACGACGTCGAGGCGTACATAAGAACAGGCACAAGGCGAGTCGCCTTTTACTTTCGATATCGACGGGTGTCGGTGTACGATCGAGTGCGAGCACCGGAATCCGGTTACGCTCGATGAAATCGACTGAAAACAACACGGCGCCTTTCTCTGTCATAGAGAAACATACAGAAAAATCTATTTCCGGTATTTTTCAATAGAAACCGACTTTCTCAATTTTCACATTAACGTTCGACTCGACTAAGAGGGAGGTACAGATCGTTTTTCAAACTGGGACACGGCTTCGAGTCAGGAATTTGCCTACGGGAAGAATACGTCTTGCAAGTAGTTTCGTCACGCATAGATCACGAGAAATACGTCTCGCGGCCGCAAAAGGGAAATTCCACCCCGGATCGTTTACGATCGCAGCCTCAAGGCGGATTTAACGAGGAAACGGTTTCTTAGCTTTTCCATCTTGATCGGTTTGACCCGAAGCAATCCAATAAAGATCGGCTCCGCTTCCTTCGCGATGTGCCGTTTACGTACACATAAAAGTAAATGTAAAGCACGGGTCCTTCCGGGACGTTAACAGCGACGTCACGATACACTCTTTGTTCATTGTCCGATACACTCGTATTTGATCGAAAATAACATTCAGGGACATAACGAGCCTGGTATAACTCAAATGCTTGTAGAAAGTCGGAAGATGTTGGATAACGCGTGAAAAGGAAAGTGGCGGATTGTCAGAGCGAAGTAGAATCAGACGACGCGAGGCAGACACGCTTACCTTTTCGGAGTGGCTTACGTAACAGCGGTGGAACTTTCACGTTGTAGCTCGACCTCTCGTGAGTCTAGGAACTTGCTAATAACCGGAAGCAATGGAAGTTTCAAGACGGTTTTATGGTACCGTTAAAATTTAAGAAACATACTTTTTTCTTTATATAAAAATTTCACTACGGCCGGCACGACCCGCTCGATTAAAACTTTCGCAGAAATTTTATTTTATTCACGCGAATCGAAAGGTATGAATGCGTTAAAATTACAAGGATTTTCATCGGGTAGCGGGGACGAACCGATCGAACCGCGCGTTACCGGAGTCAATATTTGGCCGGTTTAACATAACTTTGCTTTTAATCAGCAAGCAAAATAGTCACGGAGACCACGGCCGGGTCACGCATTATCCAAGTAACGCGAGTGCTGCGCGTGGTTACGCGTTTCGCCTTTTGATCGTAAACGAAAATTGCGGGACAGGTCCGGGCGATGTCCAATCCCCAGCGTCGCAACGCCACGTTTCGGTCCTCCGGTCAACGCGCAAATCGTCCCACGCGACGCGCCACGCCGCCGGTGAAAATTGCGAAACGCAACCGGCTTTGACCCGGCGTCCAATTTTCGATGACGCGCGTGGATTCACCGATTTTATCCGGGCTGACACAACGCCGCGGCTGCATCTGTTTAGTGAGATATCGACGGGACGTTTATTCGTTCGTTTGGTCCGGGCCCGGCTCATGGCATCGAGCAGAATTTCCACCGCGCCTGTCATCGTGCACAATTGTAATCTCGAGATTGCGAGATAATTCAACTCGCGATTCGCCAAATGAAATTTCGCAATGAAATTAAACAACAAGTTTTGGCACCGATTACGTGATCGACCTTTAAAGAGTCTTGCGATTCAGCGAAATAACGCACGGATAAGCATGGATCGAAAGTGGAAAAGTGAAAGTAGCGCACTGGATTCTGGGCCGACATGATGAAAGTGGACGAGCACCCTGATTCGAGGCATAAAAATCGCGAATTGCTGTGAAACTGGCCGATCGTCCCAAGGGTTCTCGAACGTCAATCATTTAGCCAACATTTCCTCCCATGTAATTACCACGTGTTCTTGGTCACGGTCTATTTTGCCTCTTTCGCTCGACCGAGCAACCAACTGCCTCTCGAGATTCGAATGGCGAAAGTGAAACAAACAGACTGCAATGTAAAATACGTTACGACTGAATTACCTGATTAGATTTAGCAAAGATCGTTCCATCTCGCTGAGTTGGTCCTGATGAACGGACGAGGTCAGTTCGCATATCAGCTTGGGCAGACAAGCGGTCTTGATCGTCGACATTATCTTGGCGCGTCGCGAAATCACTGCAAAGTTATCTATAAAGTTGAACTCGGCCACTGAATTCCTAACACGTTCCACCGATCTATCACCAGAATTTCTCAATTGAACTTAATTGTGGCCACGTTAATTAAATGCTCACTATTGCAATTAGGAATACAGTAGACCCTCGCATAATTTAATTAGCTTGTCGCTCCGCAGTGAAATTTGTTCTCAATCTCAAAGATAGCCGTGAAAGATAAGCATGCGATACCTGTATCGTATATCTAACATTTATGATACTTTCCAAGAACATTTTCCAATTGGACGAGACTAGTTTTTACGATTCTTTTTGCCGGCAACGCGTTAACTGAATATCAGTCTTAACGGTTAATCAGCGTGACTGACGGCTCGTCGAGCTGGTGTTCAGTTACAACGGACAGGTGCACCGTGGAATTTTTCGACGGCCAATACGTCTCATCGATTGCGACAGGCGCTTTATTCAACGATTACGTAAGGTATGGCGATGCAAACATGCTAAGCAGGCGAACGTTTCCCAGTATTGTTGGAAAATTCTGAATAAAACTTCCAATTCTGAAAACTATGGCACAGAGAAGTTCTTCACACACGCATGAAAGCTCATACAGAAATTTTCTTTAATCACAAAATTATTTTGCTCTTAATCTGTTTTTCATTTATGATTCACTGTACGGTTTTTCCATATGATTTTCCAGTGCGTCAGATAATATTTTTCCTTACCGTTCTCCGCGTCCTTCTTCGCCAAGGCTGTCCCGTCACTGGAAAGCTTGCTTCCAGCATCCACCGGACTCTTTATTGGTTCCGTGTGATTCTGATTGACCGATTGGCCGAAGATCGTGGTGATCACATAAGTATAATCGCCGACGAACATGAGGAACATCCCGAGGAATATCACGAGCCGCACCGTGCTGGTGTCCATGACCATGACTCTTTGTCAGTGTCCTCGGCGCGTGTCGACCTCGAAACACGTGAGAACGATGTCGCGCGTCCGTACCGATCGGCGATCCTCGATTCACTGCGGGTCTAACTAGCTCGCGGCGTCGTCGATTCCGAGACCGGATCGTTTGGAGCGCAAGGCCAGGACTGGATCCGCAGTTTGAACTTTACTCGGCTACACCTAACGATTAAAACGGAAACGCTGTTTCGCGACCGTTCTTCGTGAATCGGCAAATTTTCGTTTAATCCACCTCAAAATTTTTAGATTCACATCAGATACTGAGTCTACTCTTTGACCACTGACGAACAAGCTCGAAATTACGAACGTTGAAATTTGTAAACGGTTCAGTTCAGTTGAAGTTAATTTGCGATTGTTAAAATCGAGCCGTGTTCTCGAAGAATAAAATACGTTGAAATTAATGAGTACACAAAGGGTTTCGCAACGATTCGAAAGGAGAACGCAGTACGTACTGCAGTTACGCAAACGATGCCTTAACCCAATTTTTGAGAGCATATAAATTCGTCCGGTTACCATAGAACAATACGTACTCGTGAGAAGCATCTACGATGCGCCAGCCGGAGCGGAGAGCGTCGACTTCCAACGTGGAGAACGTTACAGCGAAACTTTCGCTCTCTGTTCACTTCCACTTTCGTCGAACCGTTCCGAACGCCATTCAAGAAAACACCGCGCGACGATCGAAACCAATTCACTTCGAATAGAATTAAAATAATCCATTTACAACCTGCACTACGTTTCGTCAAAAATTTATTACAATTATTCTACTTATAGAATTCCTTCAACGACGTTCGTCAGATTTCTGTAACAGATCGATCATTAAAAACACTGTGTACGAGATCCACGTTAATAAACCACTGACACTATTGCGGAACTTTAACGTTCGAAACTGGAATTGAATACCGCGTGCCAAATTTTAATTCTTTATTAAACAGTTTAATAACAACGAATAATTACACTGTGTATCGAGGAGAACGTATCCGATGGAGGAATTCACCGACCCTGCCGCGGTGTACCAACGTCGCGGAATGACTGTGAATGATTCGAAACCTCGGCGGCGGACCTAACGAGTCGTCAGTGAAAGTTGGACATTCGCCACGCAGCGCAGCGCCTGATCCGATCGGCCGATCCTGAGTACCACGACTCGGCTCGTTCGCCAGTTTAACCGGTGCAAGCGAGCGAGAAAAATCATACAAAATTCAAGTCATATTTACAATAATATTGTAATATAATTCTTTTCGATTTCGAAGTAGACGCTCCTCTCGATTTTACTCGGTATCACATCTGGTGCGTAAGACAAAGGACGAAGAATTTTTCCTGTACAACCAGTTCTGTCAAGGACAGTGATATGAGCGCGTGCAGGTCAGACCAGAAGCGGTTCGCTTTCATAAATTCCTTCCCAGTCCGGTCAATCGTGTTACCTGTTCCTCCTGCAATCCTGTTCCCGCAAGAAATGCATTTTCTTCAATTATATAGGTATATATGTATATATGTATATACCATGGAATCGTTTCTCGTGTTGGTCTGCGACGCGAATTGACGGAGAGTCAACACGACTTTTAATCGCCGGTAGTCGTGAACCGAACGATCTATGTATAATTTATGACGGTGTAATGATGTACATTGTTTCTCTTTAGCGACGGCCTTTGATGTAATATCCGTGGGACTGTTGGTTCTCTGATATAACGCGACGCACGTCATACATAATGTCAAGTGATTACACGGCGTTTAAGTGAATGAAAAAAGTTGTTTCTGTATCGCGTGTAAAATACCGAGACGCTAAACGATTTATTTTCGAAACAGTAATAATTAATAAATAGAAACACTCGTTTTCGTTCGTCGATTACCTTTGAAAGTGCAAGTATGCGGTGACGCAGGAACGGAACTTTTCTATAGATTACATTCCACGGTGATCGGAAAAAGTGTCTTATCTATAAATTCTTACGGAAGACATAAAGAGAACAGAAATAACCGAGAAAGAATAATCTGCTGTCACGTTTTACAAACGTCAGCTCTACTCATTACGTGTTCGTTCAAACATCGATTAAACTATTTGCGCAGCAAATTATCGCGTTATCCGTATTACGTCGATAGATACATTTAGTGTCTCAGATTCTAACGACGGAAACGCATCTGTACTTTTAACGGTCAGATCGAACTAATTAAAAAAACCAGCCCTGGATTTAAAAAGTTTCCTTTAACGAGGATTCGTTTAGGCAAATAACGAACATCAGCATACACTCGAATCGATAAGAGACTCGGGGACAATTACTTATGCGGGAGAATCGGTGGCAATGCTCGTTAAGAGGACGTATGGTTAATTTACAAGCCCTTTGAGTTGGGATGCGTTTTAGAAATGGAGAATAAGCGTTAATTAACGGCATTGACAGCGTCACGTGTATGCAAATGTGTTTTCTCCATGTTGTGATAATATTCGCCCGTTATAATAGATGTATGCGATCAAGATTAGACTGTGCGTGAAGTGTTGAGTAGGTCGAGAGACCATTACGACTCAGACTTTCAATGTGGAAAATGATCACAATGATATCTGATTCGGCGAAACGACGCTTTGCTACTAACCTTTGTCAGCCGTGAAACTTTTTAATTAATTATGCACTTACCTTCACTGAAATAAAATGGAACAGGAATATTGGGTCGAGACTTTTATTTCCTATACTTTTATTTAATATCCTTATCAACGAACAGATTATGACACTATACGAAGACACAAAAATTTATCGCAAATCAGTCTTTCGTAAAAATCGTGAGGAGACCCAGCAGCGACTTAGTGAAGGGCGTCACGTGTTTGAACGATTCGGCTTGCCACTTCTTCACGTTGTAACGCGGTGAAACGGAATTGTCGATGAATTTTCCATATCGTCTTTTCCTCCTATCGTCGTGTCGACGGTCCCCACCGCTCCAGACGAACTTCTCGGTGCCTGAAAGAAACGCTTAGCTTAAACGATAGCCGATCGAAGAAGAACGTCGACGGTCGACAACGGCAACTGTTTCACGAATTCTTCGGTTGCCAGTAACGTTCGAGAAAGTTTGAACTATCACAATTATACCGAGCAACGTATCGAGCAATGAAGCGGTGAAAAGAGAAAGCTGATCAGTGATAAGTTACACTCGTCTTTCTAGCGGTTCGCGATAAATCCGATGTTTGCCGTAATAAATACGCGACGTCTAATTCAACTGACAAAATATTTACCGAACGAAACACTTAACGCGCGTGCAATGTTTTATTGATTTTTCTCAGTAAAGTAGCAATGTCCGAGAGAAAAAAGAAACGGAGAGTCATTCGAGAAAGGTGTTTGCCTGAATAGACGAGTTAGAAGTAATATATCGAGTAATTAGCGATTGACGATAGATGGAAGTGACGATCGCGCGTAAAAGGTAACGAATACGGGTGCTCACGGTGAAAGGCGGATTCCGAGGAGGCTTCCACGGAGGCAAAGTTACTTGAATCCGATTTTCGGGGGCACGGTCGCAGCTGCAGCTGTGGGAGGTGGACGACGTTGGCCAGGAGGTCGAGTGACAAAGATCCCATATTTCCTGCGAGGAGGTTCCGGTGGCGGTGGCGGTGGGAAGGACGGCTCGAGTATCTTTAACACAAACGCTTCGGCTGATTTCTGACCACGAGGGAAAACACGGGTATATTAATCCTAATTACGCGTTTGATTTCCCGTGAACAGTAAACGTTAATACAGTCCCGCTGATGGAGTACCAATGATGCATGCGCAGTAATTGGTACAATTATCTAAGCAATCTGTTGATACGTTACACGCTCGAGCATCGTGTCAACGTACAATGATCCTAACAATAATACGGGATAATCCGAAACGACGTCAGCGTCAACCCTTCCGCAGCCAGGCTCTCCGTTGAATGCGTCTTAACTAACTCGAGTCCCATCGTTTTCCCCAATTTCGTTCGCAGACACCGAAATAACTTTACGCGTCGCCCCGGTGGCCGCGAGTTCACCAACAGAATTCTCGAACAATCCGTCTTGCCTTCAACCCGTTACGATGTAGACGCCGTCGAAGAGGCGAACCGCGAGGGTCTCGATTTTCGCGACAATTACAGCGGTCGAACAACCGGAGGATCGTTCGTTAATTGAAACGTACCTTGAGATTCTCGAGCGAGTCCGACCGTCCCTCGCGAGAGAGCTCGTTCGCGTTTTCTCGGTCAGCGACGTCGCCCGCAGAACTCTCGTACGATTTCCCATTGGACTTGTACTGAAAATCAACTACGGCTTAATGACAATCGGTGAACCGCCGGACCGTTGGCGTTCCCACGGGAGAGATAGGTTCCTGTACTTTTTCAACGATCTTCTCCAACTCGGAGAGCTTGCCTGCAGCATTGATCAGTTCCGTGCTCAACCGTCGCATCTAAATGATCGATCGTCTCTTAATATCGTATCAATTTTTTAAATGTATTTCTAATTACTTCGTCCTCTAGCTCTATCGACGTTAACTTTTGCGCATCTTTCTATAAAGAAATATCTTAATCATTTACGTTCCTTAGCTAATTTCGATTTTCAACACAAACCGTTTTAACCACGACTTGGTCGTACTCGGCTTTCTTATCTTTCAACGCAGCTACATCGCGCAGTCTCTGTAACAATAAACGAGGAATCAATACGATTTTTTAATTAAATGCAGCATCGATCGGCGCACCGTTCTGTTCTCTTCCATAATTTTCAGCATCGTCTTGTTCGACTTCTCCATTTTCCGTATCACCTAAGCCCAAGCATTGATCAACGAACGTTCATTTATTCATTAAGAACAACTCGACTCACCGTGGTCGCGTACCATAGCGCCACGTAGAAAAGTATGTGCATGAGCACGCAAACGTACACATTGTCCAACACGTAAGCTCGTATGAACGACTGTGAAAATGGAAACGAATGAAAATCAGAATCGCGGCGAGCGGGTACGGGTTTACCTGGCGATCGTATACGTCAACGAGCTTTAGAACCGGGTAGGATCTCGCCAGCCGGGAGAAGTAACTCTGCCGTTGCATAAACATGTTCGCGGACGCGATCCATTAGTCGATACAAAAATTCCCGGAAATGGAGATGCGCGAGGTGAGACACGTCCCTCCGATAAACGAGAGACGAGAATCTGTCAAACGTTGTTATACGGCATCGTGATTTGGAACTGAATAATCGACTGTCGTCAAATCGATATCGCAGCATACGAGAGACGAAGAAACAGAAAAAAAATAGGCTCACTCGCGGTCAATCGATTACTTTTGAAGTATTCGAGATAGAAAAAAATTGTATGTAGGTAACAACAGTACCTACAACTTTTATTCGAAGCGTTACATACTCAGTCTCGATTCTCGTACAGCGATGCAGGGACGTAATTTTATATGCGATTAAATTCTGTCTCGTGGTATGGAAATTAAAAAGTGCAGTGTATTCGATAATCAAATTCGCCGCATGAATCATTGTTATCGTTCGTTAAGCGAGGCTGGAGATGAGGCTTGTCCGGCGATTTTATCGCGGCGAGCTCGTAAAGTAATTCGCCGGTGATTTACGGACATGCTAATTGGTCCACGCTGCAGTATCCGCTTTTAGCGAGCCTTCGCAATTTCCCCAAATTACAGTCGTATAATAATAATAACCACAACACTGAATTCTCGCGATCTCGTGTGTTCTAATGAAAGATTCCCGGGAACGAGATAATTAAAATGTATTAGAAACGAGAACAAATATGAGTTTCAGTGATAATGATCGTGAACGTAACGACGGCGATATATGTATTAAGAGAGGACACGTGGACAGATTGAAAAGGAATCTCTGATTCGTCTGAACGAGTTCGTCGGAACGATCTGTGCTCGGCGACGTTAAAGCATATTAGAAATTAATCCCCGGGCGATCGTTCGTCCTTTCGCGGACCGAGGCCGATCGGCGTCAGCGTTCGATTAAATAAACAGGAATTAGCACATGAAAGGCGGTCGGTAATCGTCGCACGAGGGTGGAGGACTGCCACTTGTCGTTTCCCATCGCGCCTAGCGGCTCCGGGTCGACTGACTAAATACGAAGTTAGCCGAACGGGAATCGAGGGCCCCGGGGCCAGGGTTAAACCGTGCTTAAAAAGCTTCGCTCGCCGCGCAAACACGCCGCGAGTCAACTGCGAAAACACTTGAGATCGCTTAGGCTTCCAGAGGAATCCCTGTGCCCTCTCGATGCCGTCGCGATTGCGGTTTCCGTCCCTGCTGCTGACGAGTTGGTGTTTATGTAAAACAGTAGCCGATATGGATCGACGAGCGGCTTCCGTCCGGTCCCCCGTCCGCGTGCCTTCTGGGTGGATCCACTTGACGCTTCAAAAACGTCAGTTACACCGATACGGGGGTGGCCGAGGAAGGGGGTGAATGTCGCTTTTGATGGCGAGAATCCTGGACGAAGACTCTCGCTTGGAATTTCGGTTTCCAAACGGGGCGTGTTGTTATTTCGCGGAGGGTGCCGCACGATTTACACAGGGGGTCGGATAGAACGTTTCGCTTAACGCGACACAGTAGAGCGCTAATTGAATTAATATCACTAAGTGGGACTCGCAAGGATTTGCATACGTATTTTAATTCAGTTTGACGATATCATAGAATTTGTAATATTCACGTACGGTTATTCTAAAATTCTCAAAGATTCCTTTGTCGAACGCAATTTCCAGCCGAGGGAACCTCCGGTAAAACAAACTCGCGTCGCCCGGTCGTTTCACGAGCGAGTTATCACGCGATCGGTTCGTGTAAGAGGCGAAGATAAAGGAGGGCAAGATAGCGTGGAGCGTAGGACGGATCTGGTGCAGGAGCAAATTGGTCGGCCAGGGAAAACAGGATAACGCCGGAGGATCGTGGATCCTGCGCGGATGGCGCGCCTAAATAGAGGCGGGCGATAGCAAAGCATCGGGACATAATCGATTTGCCGTGAACTCATCCGTGATTCGGGGCCACAGTCGTGTCGGCGTGACAAGAAAGTCTCGGCACAACGGCAAAGGCGCCAGCGAACCGAGAAATTACTCATCGTTCTGATTGAGGTTAATTAATTAGATAATTAAGTCTCCCCGCGACGACGACGACGACGGAGGAGCTAGACGAAGGTCGGTTAGAGAGACGTCGCGTCGCGTCGCGCACCAGCCTCTTCTCTCCCTTCTCTCCCGAGAGATGATTCCGCGACGGTGATCCTCGTTATAAAAATGCTCCTCGTTATTACCGAAACTACCCTCTCAGGCAGCCTTATCTCGTTAACGTTCTCGCTCGGATCGGACACGACGTTCCACGCTGGGATTTCTCCATGGTACTTAATTGATACTTCATCGAAGACTCCTTGTCCCAGTGAAACGTTTGCACGTTTCGCAGTATCGAATGTACAAACGTATGTACTCTCGTATACTTTCTAAGCCTGTAAATGAACGACATAAATCTCCCGTTCCAACCAGATCCGATAAATCTTTTCCTCGCGCGACATTTACATTTTATAAACGACGGCAGCGTCGGAGTCGACGATGATAAAAAAAGAGTCGCGGGGTCGCGTATGAAAGAACTCTTTACGCGTGACACTTAACGAGAATCTCATAATCTTGCGGGAACGTCGATCTGTCTCCGGCCACCCTCGCGCTCGCGTCCGTCTCTCTCCCTTTTCCTCGGGGCCGCGCGGCCGGAAAATCCCTTTGAAGCTCTGGCCATTGACGCTCGCGGTTTAATATTCCGTCACGAATATTAATGCCCTTCCAGCAACTGCCGCTCGTAAATCAGCGAACATGCCTTCCATCGTTGATGCACTTTTCGCTGCGTTTTTCCCGCGTTTCTTCCGTTCCACCACTCCCTCTTTTTGTCGTCCCGTCCTTCCTACAGTCTTCCATCGACTCGCCCCGCTTTAGCGACCGATCCGTTTTTCCTTTCCCCATTGACTCTTCCGCGTTATCGCTTTCCTCTCTTTTCTACATTTTTCCCTCGGATTCTCCACGCGTTTTCTTGTTTCCCTGCTTTCTCCACATTTCAACCCTGCGTCGTTCCTCTTTTGTCATCTGCCTCTCTCTCTCGCTCCCTCGACGCGCGGATTCTTTCGATCCCCGTGCAACCCATTCCAACGTCGTCGCGAGGACAGTCTCGCTGATTGAGAATAATGCGAGGTACCAATTACTCGCTGGCATAAAGAGGAATTCATTAGTGGGAGAAACGCGCCGCTGGGGCGCATCTTTCTGTTTCTGCTACCGAAGCTCGAGCGAGCGAGCGAGGGTGCCAGCCGCTGAGAAAGAGAGAGAGATAAAGAAGGGGTTGAAGGGAGTAGCGGACAACCGCACCGGTTGCACGGCGGCTTTTGTGGCTCGGTACCACCGTGCACTTCCTGCATTGTGCCTCGGGACGCGTGGACGAATATTTTATTCCACGGCACGGAGAAAGACGGGGAAACAGAGGTCAATGCTTGACGCTTGTCGCGCCTTAATTAGAAAACAAGCTGCGGGGGAAACGTTCCACGGATGCTACACGGATTTTCGTCGAACCGACGAGTAGTTCTTCGAGTCACCGTACATATACGTTTGAAGAGGATTTTTACAACGACAATCGAATACGAAGCTGCCGCCAATGTTTGCAGTGGAACTACGAATTACGCGACGTCTTCCTCTACGAGGGAGAATTCGACGGGAATTTCTTTGCCTCTTATCAAGTGAGCAAGCTGGTTTCCTTCGGAGTCTCGATGTTCCGCCGAGCATGAAATAAGTGTACACACGAGGAGGGAAGAGGAGACGATAAAGCGAATTTCGAAGGGAAAAGGGAACGTCCTCCCGGTCCAATCGAATCCTGAGATAAAAAGGATCCCGCCGTCTCGTCCTACGTTGTAAAACCATAAAGGTGTAATCGTACGCTCTTACCCGATCGGAGAAGACGGCGCAGGAAGGAAAGACCGAATTTAGAAGTTTATGCAACGATGCAAACGGAACGACGGTGATGAGAGAGATTCCCCTTGCAGTCAGGCAACAGGATCTTCTGAAATAATGAAGCATGCGTTTGCTCGCAAGAATCGCGAAAGTAATTCGAAAAGTTCGATAGAGCGAAATACCGTTTGAACGATGCCGCGTGGCGAAGCGCGGACCCCAATTACCAAATTAATTAAATGCATCGAGCGTGTCCGCGTGCACGGTGGCTGAATCATCCCCGCCGTCCACCGAAATCCGACCGAACAATAACACTTGCTCCGTCGGCTGTCATCCTGACTCGACGGGGCCGCACCTAGGCGAGAGCGTGCCGTCGGCCCGGGATGCTGTCAGTCAACGATCAGCGAACCGTAAGGAGGGCCATTGTGGCCGAAAGTATAACAGAGAAATGGAATCGAGGGTCAAACGAGCGAACCGAGGGGTAAGTATCGCGCGGGGGTTGCTCGCCTGATTGAACGTCAGCCAGGAGAATGCGACGCGTCGCACTGTCGTAACGAGAAAATATGCTTTGACTGGAAATTAATTCGCCTGGTTTTCGCCCCCTGCTGTAACGATTCGTAAAATGCTCGACTGTCTCCTTCTTAAATTTGGATAAAGACGGATCGATTCTCGCTCGTGAAATTGTGCAAATTGTTATAAATACTACAGATAATGATTGAAAAAAGAAACGAACGATTA